GTGAAATGGGAGTCAGTTAAAAATTGGTAAGAAACAAGTGCCTAAGAAACTGTATGCCTTGAGTGATGGGCAGACTAGTTTTAAATTCTAGCTCACAATTGTTGGAACCCTCTGGTTTCAATCAGTTCAGCTGTTATTATAAACCACTATGCCCACTATACAGAGAGCACAGATCCATCCTCATCCTAGAAACTGCAACAGATACTATAGGAATGCATCCTGCTCTTCTGAGGCCTGGTCACCCAAGCACTTGAGGAGAGCCTGCTGCTGTTGGGGTTTGTAAGAACTGCATTTCATTTATTTTTAACAGTGGTAATAAATAGCTTGTGGAACAAATTTCAAAGGGAAAATATGAATTCCCTAACATCTGAAATAATTAAGATTGATTTTTCTTTTCTAGCAGTTCTGGAGTAAAAAACCTGAAAGTAAACCTGGGACATGAAAAACCTGAATTATTTTAAATAAGTCAGGATGCTCCTGTGTCAGCTTAAATATTTAACTGACAAGACTTTAAAAAGTCCAAAAAGGTCATAAAGCACATCACCACTGAGAATCCTGGTGAATGTCTTGTTTAATTTGGTAGTTTTCCTTTTTTTCCCTTTCCTCCCCTTTCCCCACCCATAGTTCAGCTGCTCTGTCTCTGCAGTGCAAGTTTCAGGCAGGGTCATCTTATGGTGGCTTCTGGCCTAAGAAGTTTTCATATAGATTTATTTTTTTTTAAACTCAGGAAATGCTGAAGTGCAGCAAGAATTCAGAAGGTACTGCTGAACTGGAAGAAGCCCTGGCCACAGTGCTTGACATCATCAAATCAGTAAATGACTCCATGCACCAGATAGCAATCACAGGATACGAGGTATCAGGAGCTGTTGCTCTTACTCTGGTCTTGAACCATCTCATGTTCCTCTCATCACTGATCATTGTCTGCCCGTGGCTGGTACACTTTGTAGGAGCCTGTGCTGCATTGTTGAAGGATGCCACTCAGGGGCATTTTGTGGTGACCAAAAATAAATGTCAATATGCTTGTCATGTGGAGATGGGGGTGTGAACAGAGTGAGGAACTGGGACAAGTGCAGTCCTGCAGGGTAATCACACCCAGAACTCAGCTGTAGGTAAGAGGCAGCAAGTGGGACAGTCTTAACTTAAGAAACCTGTGTGACTTCCATGCAACTCAAGTGTTTCCGAATCTTTTGCACTTAGGGAGAAAGTAGGGAATAGAATCCATCCCAATGACTGGCAAGCTCATTATCTGAAAAGTGAAACATTTCACAACAACAATACACATCAAAGACAGGCCACAAATGTAGTTGTCTTCCTGCTAAAGTTCCATTAAAATCATATGACTTTCAAGAACTAGTGTTGCCTATAAGTGAGAAGTGGAAGTGATTGACACATAAAGGAGAAACAAGCCTGGCAAAATGAGGCCTGAAGCTGATGTGGTTGCTCATTTAAAAATAGCTGTCAGGTGAAAATGTCAAGGAAAAAAATGTATTCAGAAGCTGTGCTCAAAGACTTATCAGATCAGAGTAACAGGGACACCAGAAGAACAGTATTTGGTGCAGAAAGTGACTTCCTGAGAAAGTGTTGGAATCTGTCCTGTGTCTGGGTGGAAAGAGTTACGCATAATAATGGAGTGGCTTCAAGAGTTTTAATTTCTGTAGTTCTCTTTTGTGCAAGTGCATCTGCACCTTGTAGCTGAGGAAACCCTGTTCTCTATCCGCATTGCTTGACATATGACTTTAACTGCTTGTTGTGGTCCATGTTTTGGGTTGGTTGTGTTTGGTCTGGGTATTTTTTATTTTTAGGCAAAAGCAAAAAAAAAAGTAGAGTAAAGCTTGGCAAGCGAAGTCCTAGAGATGGAGCAGCATTCCATAGTTTGCAGGTGGTGAGCTGAGAAACTATTGACAAAGTGTTTAAAGGCTATTTTGCAATGGGAGGGAATGACACGCCTCCGTACCTCTAGACATCAATCTGGCTTCAGATGTCTAAGCATCTTCCAAGGTTTTGCCTAGGGATCTGAGAAGCTTGTAGCAGAGGAGAAACTGAACCTAGATCTCTTGGAGCCAAGGTCTTTGCTTTGGTCTGCTCGGGGGCTTCATACTGCCTTCCAGTCAGGAGAGTTGAATCCCAGTTCTTGTCAGAAGATGCCTTCTCTGAGGTCATCAGAGGGCACAGCCTGTGTGTCAGATCCAAAGAGGTCCTGAAACAGATCTTAGATGCTATCTATGAATGGGGAGACAAATTGGGAATTATGGACATGGAAAACAATGGCTTAGTGGTTACATGACAAAACACAGAGGTCTGGAAAGCATACATATGCAGATGGGATTGGATTCCAGCTGTAACATGTCCCTTCTCCAACACGAGGGATGCCCAGGCACTACCTCTGACTGGAAGATTAAACACCATCAGAGGAAAGGTCTGTGCCTGGGATTCCCCTGGTTTTAAGATCATGTAGGTTCTTTGTTTTCCTTGCTTACTAGGGGGATGTCAGTGAGCTTGGCAAGCTATTGATGCAGGGTTCCTTCAATGTGTGGACTGACCACAAGAAGGGGCACAACAAGGTGAAGGACTTGGCTAGATTCAAACCAATGCAGAGACACCTCTTCCTTTATACAAAGATGCTACTTTTCTGCAAGAAACGGGAGGAGAACTCAGATGGCCATGAGAAGACTGCTTCGTACAGCTTTAAAAATTCATTAAAGGTAATAAATGTCATGATGGTGGGGGAAAGAAATGAATCTGGTGTTCTCAGAGCATGGGGATGTTTCAATTTGGAGACTTGGAAAATGTGCATGTCTGGACCAATCTTGCAACCCTGAGTAAATGTAAGCTCCCATTTTCAGTTTTGATCTGGAGACAGACCCAGCCATGTGTCCTGCAACTCCAGATGTGAACCTCGGTCTTGCAACTCAGTACAAGCTGGCACCTTGTGTGTTCTTGCCCAGCACTGCATAAAGAGAAGCATGACTGAATGGACCTGCATCTCTCCTTGTTCTGCCTGAAAGCCCCTCCATGTTCAGTTCTATTGCAAGTTTTACTATTGACATCAGTTGAGCAGATACTTTCTGTGACAACAATAGCTCCAGATGAATTGCAGTGCAGCAGAAGTGCCCTTTATTTGCAAGAGTGACACTTCCAGATATGAGTCAGGGTATTGGCTGTTAAGATGAAATTCACACGTAGGCCACATTTTCCCTTTAAGCAAGTTGGTGTGACACTTGTGACTTCACACAACTAACATGGGTCTTTAAGTGTAATGCTGCAAACCTGGTACAGTGTAACCAGACAGGAATGGTAATGGAACCTGGTTCAAGGAGCAAACTAATCCATATATACTGTTGAAGTTTCTGTGAAGATAACAGCTTTGATTATGTCAACATTGCTGCTTAAATCTTCAGATCTAATGCTGAGATAAATTAGAACAAAGAGGATGAATAAATGTAGGAAAAGGATGTAGGCAAGCTGGTAAGTATAGTAGCAGCTGGACTCCAAAATTGTGGTTAAGAATCTATCATTTAAGAAAGACAATTATTTTCTTCAGTTCCTTTTTCACCTTGCCTACTTAGGCACTTAGCTCCTTGCTCACCTCTTTTGTACATTTTTCTGAAATTATATTTATTTTTTTGTGTTGTTGGGATTTGCAGATGAGTCATTAAGTCTCACAAAGCCCTATTCCATGCCTCTTCCTCTCCCACCTCAAGAAGTCAGTGATGGCAAGTTGAAAATACTGTCTTTCTCAACATGAACATTTGTATAGGTGGACAAGAGCCACCCACAGTTCAAGCAAAAAAAAAGAAGATAAACTCATGATCGGACATTAAGTTGTGTTCCTTTTAAGCACTTACATTTTTATTTTTCCTGTAACAATCAAAAAGATAAATGATAAATTAGGTGTTGAGAAAGAACATGTTCTGAATTTTACTTTTAATGACTCCCTAAGGTGCAGAAGTAAATGCAGTTTTAAAAAAATGCTTCTCAGAGGACAAAGAGTTTGTTGACACTTTTTCAGATTCTGGCTTCTTTTCTATTTTGAAACAGATGAGCACTGTGGGCATTACAGAAAATGTAAAAGGGGATAATAAGAAGTTTGAGATCTGGTATAATGGCAGAGAAGAGGTCTATATCATTCAGGTAACAATCATCCCCTTTTCCCCAAGCCTATACATCTTTTCAATTGAATGTTTAAGAATGTTTTCAGTTTTTTTCAGATTATTTTCACTGTCCTGTACACTCTAGAAACCATAGCCATTGGAAGCTTCATGGTGTTGGCACTGAAAATACCAATTTATCATTGTGAAAACAGTGATGATTTTGTGTAAAACAGGAAACAAAGTAATGGAAAAAAATTACTTGGAACATTAGACAAGACAGGGACAGGACCTTAGATTCATGGTACTTTTCCCTTTGTGAAGAGCATCCTCCCTCTGCTTTGCTTAAGGCTGGTGGCCACAGTGTTCCATTCCTTGGGAAAATAGAGAGCAAGTGTAGGCTGGGGCAGCCAAGTGGCTGGCAACTTACTTTAACAGGGTCTGCTTTGCCTTCTCCTCTTGTGTTCTCAGGCATCTTCTGTTGAGCTAAAAAACACCTGGATTTCAGAGATTCGCAAAGTCCTGACAGGACAACTGGAAGCATGTAGAGGTAGGACACAGAGCGAGACCTGGTAACGTTGCCTTCCTTCTGTAGCTGTGTGTGACAACATGGAGCTGGGATGAGTGGCAGTGCTGGCCTGTACCAGCAGTGAAATCAGGAGGTTTTCTGTGCAAGGATTAGTTGGGTGGTTGCAGCATTGCTGGGATTTAAATCCTTATACTGATGAAATTATTTTTATTTTTTTTTAAACTTTAGACTGGCATGAATAATTCCATTCACAGTTAGTCTGAGGAATGGGGTTTTCCACTGTCCTCCCTCTCAAGTGGCAACCCTAGAAACATCCATTTACATCAGCATGTTAGGAGATGGGGTCCCAGTTGTCACTCTGTGCCTTCCCACAACATCTGACACAAGTTCCTCTTCCACATACGTGACCAGACACAGCAACTGTTCCTCTTTGTCCTGTTGGGTTTTTTTGCTTTGTGGGGTTTTGAGGGTTTTTTAAATTTTAAATCTAATTGCCCACCTTAGGTTTTAAATGTTAGTCATTAGTTATCCCATCTATTTACTTTAGTGACCTCCTGTAAAACATGATTAATGACATTTCTCTCTCTCACAGAGATATCACTATGAAGGTAATTTGTGACATGACAAACACATGAATGACTAAAGCCTCATAAGTACCTAAAATAATTACTCCCTTTTTTTTAATGTAAGATATTGAACCCAGGACAGACAAAATTCAGTTAGGTTGTTCTGGATAGTAAGAGAACACAGTGTTGAAAACCATTTGATATACTTTTCTATTTATGTACAGGGTCCTAAGCCATTTTTCAGACTCACTTAGGACAAAAAAAACCCAGCTGTGTCCAATACAGACTTTTCCTGGGCCCTGGCACTGCTTCTCACCTTGCCCTGTTATTTTCTTCTTCTCTCAAAAACAGACCTCTCTTTAAAGCAATACAAGCAAATTGTCTCCACCCACATCCTTCAGATTCCTAAGCAGACTTTGTCTGAGGTAGAGACCTGTGCTTTAACTTTAGAGGTCACCTTTATTTTAATTGTCTGTTTCATGAAGACAATTAGTTCTTGCAACCTCCTTAAGTGGAAGGAAACAACTAAGCACATTAGCCTCAGCAATTTAATCCAACCCATAGTAATCTATGTATTTACAGTACTTACTAATCAGATCTTCTATTATTC